GAACAACAAACTAAAGCAGTTAAAAAAACAAAACAAATTTCTCTCTTCTTGTTTCACTTTCTTGAGGGTAAATTCACATCAACTCCAACTATGACTGATTCAAGGCCACGTTTTCCTGTAGCTTTCTGCACCTAGATATAACTAGGCTCAAACTAACGGAGGGAAAGTAAAATCATTCATCTGAGATCAAGTCCTCTTGAGTCATCCTGCTGTGACCTCAGAGCGGCGCTGGGCTTCCTGCTTCATGCCGTACATAAGGAGCTGATCCACAGTGCAGCCGTCTAACCTGACAGAGAGGCCGTGAATATGAAACCTTTCCTTCCAGTTCTGCTGCTGACGTTGCTCTGCAAACTTCCACCAGGGTTTCCTTCTGAGGACAACTCGACTTTTAACTGTGAGTAAAGATCTGTTTTAATTTGTTTTAACATCAGACGTAGAAATAATGATTGATTAGAATCACCGACAAGAGAAGGCAAGGTAAGTTAATGTCTACAGCACATTTCAATGGGACAACATTTAAAAAACAAACAAAAGTACACTAGAGTGGCAAATGATTCAAAATAGTACAAGGGATTCCTTAAAATATGGTTATGTTAATAAAGTTAGACTGAGATTAATAAAAAAATAAATAAAACAGAAAAGCACCCACCCCCAACCCCCCCCCAAATTTTTTTTCAGTTGTTGCTAATCCCAATACTTCAGCAAAAATAATGTTTTTAGCTACTTTTAAATCAGACAAACTGACCGCAATGAAATCATGACCTCGTTGGCAGAGCTAACGAAAGGAAAGTTGGAATAAAACCTACTAGGGTTGGGATAACGCTGTCAAACGCCGTGTTCCAGCACTAACGGCAGTTTTATGGGAGTTTTTTTCCAGATTAGTGGAGCAGAAGAACTAAAAGCTGCTCCTCCATTGTTGGCTCTGGTTCTGCAAAGTAGATCTGATCCAGTAGACCTGGGAGGTCTGGCTGTCGATTCACTGCCAACCAGTCTGTGATGTATTTTGGAGCGAAGCCATTCTGAGATTCATAGACAGACAAAAGGATTTTAAAGTCTTTTCTCTGAGATACGGGAAGCCAGTGGAAGGTCTTTAGAAGCGGGCTGATGTTCTCTACTTCCTAAGTTCTAGTGAGGACGCAGGCAGCATCATTCTGGATCTCAGCTGCAACTCTGATCTACTTTTTAATAAAACCTGTGAAGAAACTGCTGCAGGGATCAATTCTACTAAAGATGGATGAAGCAGGAAAAAATAAATAAATAACCAATAAATTGAATTAATCGTGGTGTATTCTTTAGTATAGAAATTAATTGAATTGTTGGGTCAGGAAATTGATACTGACTCAATCACCATGATTTACACCCCTAGTTCACAGTCACCTGCTGAAATAGTAACATAAAGCTGAGAGTCATCTGCATATTACAGTGAATTAATTAGTTGTTTTTTTTAGAAAACATACAAATTGACACAGATGAACAGGTCCATGCCTTTGGAATGGGCCGGCAAAAACCAAGGAAATCCAAAGTTCTGATCTCAGTCCGCCTGAAGCTGTGATAGAACAATGGTTGGGTTCTTTCTTTTGTTCCAGCCTCTTCCTTCAGAGAACTACTCATCTCATCATTCCAAGAGCGCCTTTGGACGGTGAATAACGGTGGACAGAGGTACCCTCACTCTTATAGACTGGAGATTAATCACCAGGAAGTTTAGGCTGAAGAAAGTTCTTACATCGACCAACTTCTTTTCACAGACGGACAACTTCCCTGCACTCCAGGCTCAGCTTCAGGTTTAATTCACACACTGAGTCTCAGGAGATTTCCAGGGCTGGAGAGGTTTTCCACTCTGCTCTACAAGTCCTGAAAAACAGAGCAGAGCAGAAATACCAAAGGAACGTCACAGTATCTGGTAGGTTTGTTTTCTGCAAACACTTTTCTTATCACCTCAAATTCAACATCAAACTCATTTTGACACACTGCTGTACTTTTAAAGCATTTAGAGACAGTAAAATGTAACTGATTTTAAAGCTCATACTCAGACGGCATCATAAGCTGCAGGTTTCACTCGAGTACAATGGCATGACTTTGGGTCTAACAAGGGGCGGGGGGCTTGAGGACTCCAGTTGTTCATATATATATATATATATATATATATATATATATATATATATATATATATATATATATATATATATATATATATATGTATATATATGTATGTATTTTCCACTAAATAAGGGACAGGTACTTCTATTTCTAAATATGGAACAATTCCGTTTTTCAAGGGACGGTTGGCAACCATATGCTGGGCTTTTAATGTGTTTTGTTTAACTAGATGAGTTCCGGAAATGTAACATATACCAAGCTAATCAACAACATAAAATTAAACAGAATGATCGAAAACTCGTTCTAAGGCGCTAATCTTGTTCTGTGGTTCTCCAGGGGTCAACAAGGGTTCATTTAAAGATGTTTTCAGAACTGATTGGTGACCTGTAGTTTATATCTTTAGTTATTGTAAGTTGAGTTATAAGTTGTTGCTGACTTCCAGGCTTAGGTCTACCACTCAGTTTGAATATATGAAAGTTCCTTATAAAAATAAGAGGCAGCAAAAGGAAAACTGAATGAGACAAGACCTGCATGATCTGAGAGTGATGGAGGAATAGAGATTAAAACATGTTAAATGTTCATTTAATATATTGTTGTTACTTGTAGCTCCAAATATTGTGGTGTTTAGCCTTTCTAGTATTTAATCAGGTGAGATAATATCAATGATAATAATAATAATCATATGTATTATGCTATTATATGTGTTTGGAAGGGATTTTGATTGTATCATGTTTGTTTTAGATCAGTGTAAGATTGAAAGAAGAGGAAGAAGATTAGAAGACTGATAGAAAATATATGAATATAAAAAATATGAGTAAATATGTAAAAATGGATGAAAGCGTCACTGTCCCTGTTTCCTATTTTAATTTTGATAATATATATTTTTTTCTTATCTACGAGCTGGAAATGTCCCCAGATTGGATTTCACAAATCTGGTCACCTTAAACTAATCATTGATCTGTTTATCAGACTTTCTAATGTCTGCTTTAGATGTGACGCTGTTTAAGATATAACCAACAGTATCAAAAGGTCTGGCTGCTTTAAAGGCTCTTTTCATTTTTTCCAAGAACAACCACTTTCACTAACGCATGATAAACAGCCATGGTGGTACCAGGTTTACAGAGAGAATAACCAATCATTAATGCATATTTTTATAAATATATTATAGTGGGATAATATAGGGGGTCGTAGCCCCCGTATTCCCCCCTGATAATAAGGCTTGTGCTTAATTTTATGATTGTAACAGAACTGCTGTCATGGGAAGACTTGGAGCTGCTAGCAGAGCTGTCTCAGTGTCCAAATGAGACAAATCCCGTCATCTGTGAAGGAGGTCACCACAGCAAATACCGCACCGCTTCAGGAGTCTGTAACAACAGGTAGAAAGACTGAGAGATTTAGCTTTGCTTATATTCACGGTTAAATTAAAACTTACTTAGATTCAAATTTGAAAAAAATATATAAGCCGGCTCTCCTGCTCCCTTGGGGGGGGGGCGGATTTCCTGGGTTGGCCCCTCCTGGGCGCCTCTGCTCTTGGGGTCCCTTTGGGCGTCTGGGGCTTTTGGTCTAAGTGCTCTGGGGGGGCGCCTCTTCGGCTCTTCACAACCACTGTTGAGCATTTTTCCTTTGGATAAACTTTAAATGCACAAGTGCACTTTCACAAACAAATACAGGTGCTTAGAGATTCACTTCCATAAAGATAGTCCATATTCTTATCAAGGACCAATCAAGGACTAGGCAAGGACCCTTTAAGGAAAGTGGGGGCATTTTGAATGGTTACTACGGAAGCTATTTTTTTTCAAAATTCCACTTACTAAACGTTCTTTATGTTTGTATAATGAAGGAACCAAATTCACCCCAAACTGCAGGATGAGTGAACTCAAAATAACAGTAAATGTTTGCGCCCCTCAGGATAAATATTAGCAGATTTTACTGCAATCTTTTTTGATTCCTTTTGATTCAGGGAACATCCCGACTGGGGAGCAGCCAACACGGCCTTGGTCCGGTGGCTTCCAGTGGAGTATGAGGACGGAGAGGAAGAACCCAAAGGCTGGAATCCAGAACGGCTCCATAATGGATTCCATCTTCCTCCGGTAATCTGAGCCCAGCCTGCTGACAGGACAGTGGAAATAGACAGAGCTGACCCTGCAAGTCAGCGCAGTGTTTCCATTTAACTTCCCAACCTGTTTCTGGACAGATAAGCTCCTCAGGTGGAGGCTGGAAAATATGGAGGATGACACAGACTGATGCTGTGCTTTAACAGGCAGAATATTATTCTCTGGTATTAATACAGGCTGCTTCCGCCTGTTTGGATAAACATTCATCTCTTCCAGACAGTATGTGGAGCTGTTCTCATCCTCATACAGACTCAGTCCTCATTTCTGGGCTCATTACGCCTGAAGTCAACTTATTAAAAGTGCATCAGCTCTATGGAGTTTTCCTGCACATATAGGAGCAATAAGTTCCTTTTTGATTGCTTGAGGTGGACTAGTTAGTTAAAGTTAGTTACATCAGCTGTGAAATTTAATGATATTTAAAATTAGAGTTAACACTACTCCTCTGTGGAACGTCAGCGATCTAATTAAAGCATTAAAGAATGAAACAATAACCAGAGAGGCAGGTTTTCATATGAAACCTATAAATCGTAATAAAAAGTGGATTCTGTCCACAGCCTCGGAGCATCAGCAGGGAAATAATAAGGAGCTCCTGTAAATGGACAGACGATGACTACTCTCAGCTGCTGGTGGACTGGGGTCAGTACATAGATCATGATGTAACCTTCACGCCGCAGAGCATCAGCGGCGCTGCTCTCTGGACGGATGTGGACTGCAATAAGACCTGTGAAAACCTGCATCCTTGTTTTCCCATTCAGGTAATTTTAACACACAAAACAACAGCAACAAAAAAATAAAGAAATCTTCCTTTTTTTTAATTCTGTGTTTGTCATTAATTACTTTCTATGTTAGAGTTCACTTTTAAACATTCACATTCCTTCTGTAATTTGCCATTTGGCATCCTTTTCTTATGTTGTTAAAAATAAAAGTTAAAATACTGTTGAAATAAACCGCTGAAATGAGCAGCTGTTTTAAAACATGTTTAAAATCTCCAGGGGAAAAAAGCACTTTCCTACTTGTTTTGCTATTTTGTTGCTCTCTGCTGTTAAAGCGGCTGACAAAACGATGGAGCTAAAAACAATCGGATGTTTCCACAGATGTTTTTTAGTCCTTATCAGAGAGAGAGAAGCAGAGTCAGAAGGAAAACATCCTCTGTCATCAGATGACACCTTTCAAGGACCTTTCAATCGTTGGAGGCAGCTACAGCTCACACTGTAAGATGAAACCGCAAGGATTCGTCGTACAGTGCGAGTTCACAGCCCACGATGTTTGTTCTCCGACTGTGCGACCCGACGCTCTGATGCGATCTACCTCGCACTGTACGTCTAAAAACCAGGTGGGACAGGCCCATGCAGATGATGTGCATCTCCTCTCATCATGTGACGTGGGAGCTGGCTTGGGGATAATCTGCCTGGCTGTGTGTTTTCTGGACGGTGACTTCTTTTACAGTTGCCTTTTCTATGTCTGGTTCTGTCTCCTTGAACCCCAGTGGGCCTCAGCAGATGGCCGCTCACACTGAGCCTGGTTCTGCTGTTGGTTTCTTCCTGTTCAAAGGGAGTTTTTCGTCTCCACTGTCGCTACAAGCATGCTTAGTGTGAGGGATTGCTGAAGAGTCAATGAGTCGATGCAATCAGCTGGTTTTTCTTAGATAGAAAACTTCTAACCAATTTGACTGGATGATCTGGTGAACTGGAAAGTGACCTGAGATGATGTGTTGTGAATAGGTGCTATAAAAATAAACTAAAACTGAACTGAATCAGCGCTAAGGTCGCTGGAGGAGCAGTTACCAGTTTAGCAGGGTCACCAGAGATGGGAAGTAACGAAGTACAAATACTTCGTTACTGTACTCAAGTAGATTTTTCTGATATTTTTACTTTACTTTACTTCTTATTTTTATGGCGACTTTTTACTTCTACTCCTTACATTTTTACACAAATATCTGTACTTTCTACTCCTTACATTTTAAAAAATTGGCTCGTTACTTTAGTTTTGAATCATTTCAATGGAGTTACCGTTATTATTTTTCACGTCATCAATACCAAATTCTATCTAATTGGATGGGAATCTACGTTGCATTTGACGCACCGCTACAAGATGAATCGACAGATTCGGCGGTATTCATTGGCGGCAAATCATTGCAGCTTGGTGGCGGTGGCGTTAGCATAGTAGCATGGACGACGAGATGATTGAAAATGAACACAACGGAGATCTAGTCCTATTGGCAGACATCCATTTAAAATGTAGGCAACGGCATGAAAAAAGTGGTTTCTACTTTTACTTTTATACTTTAAGTAAATTTACAAGCCTGTACTTTGTTACTTTTACTTGAGTAAAGAAGTTTAATCAGTACTTCCACTTTTACCAGAGTATTTTTTAACACAAGTATCTGTACTTTTACTCAAGTACAGAAAGTGAGTACTTTTGCCATCTCTGACGGTCACTTAATGCCACTTTGGCTGTGTCCGAATGTCCGCCCTAACCTCTAAATCCCTTCATCACGATATAGAGCGGGGACTATATAATGCTCACCGTTGGTCACGTAACTCCGCCCCCCCACATGGTGCATGCACCATCTTTGTTATTTGTCGCTGCTGTTGCTATATGTGCCCGTCTAGTGACCATGGATAATTACTTCTTTTCAAGGTGAATTTTTGGAAATTTCGAGTCCACTACTTTTTCCTCCACTAGACGTTCAGGCACTGATCTAAAATGATGTATCCACTATATGTGGATTAGGACGCACATCCGGACACCTATGTCTATGTCATTACCACTGAATCACTGGAATGTATTCTGATTTTATTGTTACTTGCAGACTGAGGATTCGCTCTGCATGCCTTTTCACCGGTCCAGCCCAGACTGCCCCATCAGGTCCATGTCTGACAAACTCCAAACTCTGCAGCGACAGCAGCTGAATGCCATCACATCCTACCTGGATGCTTCTCTCGTTTACGGCCATACTCCACGACTTCAGAGCGCCCTCCGTAATCTCACGGGCCTCAATGGAAAACTCTCGATCAACAACCAATTCAAGGACCAACATGGAAGAGCTTACCTTCCCTTCGTCACTAAGACGCCGTCGGCATGCCGCACAGATCAACAGGGAGAAAGAGTGGAGTGTTTCCGGGCTGGAGACAGTCGGGTCAATGAGGGTCTTCCTCTGATTGCTTTGCACACTCTGTGGCTCAGGGAGCACAATCGAATTGCAGAGATATTGAAGTGCATCAACGAGCACTGGAGCCCTGAGGTGGTGTTCCAAGAAACACGCAAGATCATCGGGGCCCTGCACCAGGTATGTGACTCTAGAAGGATCATCGGCCAATTAGAGCTTTTAAAGCTCATTCATGATCAAGTTGATACTCCTAAACCAACGAGGTCAGAATTCACGCAACACTGCAAAAGAAAAATACTTTTATTAAATATAGTTCAAACACGCCTGTTTACTGATAGTGATATTATGACTTAAACTTTGACAACTTTTATTGAAATGTTTTATACACACAAAACGAAATACCATTTTGTACAACTCTCATCACATTTCCATTTCTTAAAGTACAGTAGTGATCAAACAAAACAGTGTGGAAGAAAAAATAAAACATGGTGCAAAAAAAAAAAGGCACTGATATGGAAGTATAGAAGCTCATTGGTAGAATTCCCTTATGACAGAAAGAAGGCCACGATTCACACCATTTTATCATCCGGAGGGGGGACACATTTAATTACAAAACCAAATTCATACAGCTGTCTTAAACACTTCATACATCCAGCGACACATCGTCAAAATTCTGTTACCCCCCACCTTCAGTCCATTTCAGGCTGCATTTATAGTTTCCTCATCGCATTACATAACTGCACATGCACAGGAATATCATGTCGAAAGCTTCCTGGAATTCACGTGGGCTGGTCTGCGTCAAAGTCACTCCGACCCTCAAAGAATGTTTATACAGATGTTCTCTGTATAAATTAGATGATGTTCTCCTCATTCATCATCTAATTGCGTACGAATAAGTAATTAGAGACCTTATTATTGCTAAGACTCATACTTGAACTTCAACATGTACTGTTTTGTTGCTAAGTAAGTATAGACCCATGTGTGAGGATATAAGGCAATAAAACTGCTTCTACATTCCCCCCTGTAGTTTCTAGCAAATGAAATACTTTGTTTCATGTTACATGGTGATGTGAATACTACGCGACTAAGTGCACTTACATGTATGTGAAGTTTAAATGAAAAAAAACTTTAGCGTTACCGACAGCCTGATATGGATGGAAGTTGGGAGAGCATAAAATATATATGGGGCAATTTTGCAATGTTTTGGTTTGGTGTTATCAGTGCGATGCACAGTGCAGAGAAGCTGCTGCAGAACCTGCTGGTCCTGCATTGAATGCTGTGAAGCATCTTCCCGGAAGGCAGCAGGGAGAACAGTCCATGGTGGGGGGGTCGGGGGTCTCATAATGTTACAACTTTATTCTCAAAATAAAAAAAAAAATCTCTAACCTCGCCCTAATACTCCGTCGTACAGGACAAATGTCTATAACTTTGACATGACGTTTACATTTTTCTAACACTCAGTAGTTTGATATTGCTGACCTCTCAGCACCTGCAGCTCATCTTTCTGCCCACAGTAACTCTAATGTCAGATCAGGAGGCACCTGAAGATGTCGTTTGGGATTCTGAGACGTATGTAGCTTCATTCTGTTTAATGTTTCAGTGTTATTCACTCCCAATGACCTAAATTAAGCACTGCTGTAACAAAAGATAAACGAATCATTGAGCGGACGACACGCAGCCCGACGTTCCATGTTTACTTGAGACGAAGCTGCTGAGTGCAATTACACATGAAAAGAGCATCCAAGAGTCTCAAAGGTCAAACAGCTAATCTTGTTACGTTCCTTGATTGCTTTTACTGCATGGTAGATGAACTCACTCTATTCTCAGTATTTATACAGTTTTTTACAGAATCGTTTCATAACAGGAGTCACTGTTTACACATTTATCATTTATCTTCTTATACTTCTTGATGTTCACATCAACCAGTTTCTTTTCCATGGGGGAAGCTGTTATCAGAAACTAAAAATACATTATTAAACCAATTAAACTTTTCATGTAGAAGCATTTTATACGTCATGTTTTTTTTTCCCAAAGAGGTGAAAACAAATAGATAAACATTAAAAGCAGCCTAATAAATAACCAGGTAATCTAATCAGGAATATATGGAGGAATAGGGAGGAGACATGGAAGAAATGGAACTGGCCAAATGCAGATAATAGAAACATTGATAAGAAATTATAAAGTAACAAAAGGCGTAAAAACCTTAACTGCAAATGAAAAAACAATAAAAATGCAAAGAATCAACAGATAAAATACAAATGAAGAGATCAGAATATGAAATTGTTCAAATTATTTATAAACAAAATTTAAAAAAATGAGAAATACAGATGCATGATAATTAACTACATAGTCAGCTTAATATATACGTCTTTATCTTAAAAACATAATGGTGGTCTTGAAGGTATTGTCGAGGATTTTAGCAATTTTTTTAAAAGACCCACCATCTCCACTTTAAAAAAAAAAAGCACATGCACAACCCTGTACCTGATCCCGGGAGAGCGTGCACGAGTCCATTTCTCCTCGTGCACGCTCTGTTTAAAAGCTGCTGTTCTCATCTCATACAAGCTTACTGTGTCCGACCGTCCGCTCTAACCCCTAAATCCCTCCATCACTATATAGAGCGGGGACTATATAGTGAACTGTATAGTGAACTCAGTTAACTGACCATTCAGACAGATGATCACTGCTTTTTGCTCCCTGTTGGTCACGTAACTCCGCCTCCACTGCGCGGAGCCTGCAAAACCTTTGTTATTATTCACCCCTGTTGGGTAGCAATAGCCTATGGCGACAGCGGGCCGCAGTGACAGCAAATCCCATAATGCTTTGCGAGGAGAGCTCTCCGTGAAATTCTGGCCATTTCTCAATTCCCTAGAATGCGAGTACGTATGTATATTCTAGGGGTGGAACGGTTCACAAAATCCACGGTTCGATTCACGGTTTCGTGGTCACGGTTTTTGGTTCGGTATATGTTGATTATTACACCGAAATACCATAAAAATTAATGAAATTAACGAAAATATCCCCAAAAATTAATGGATTGTAAATATTTTTAATGATCCGCGGGAAACCCTGGATCATTTCCGCATGTTTTGCTGCTTTGAATTTAATCATCTGGCGCATGCCCTCTACGATCTCCAAGGAACTCAGAGCGGAGCGACGGGAGCCACAGTGGAGGCTGTAGGCTTTGCTTTGTGCAGCCGGTCTGGAGCGCAGCGGGGCGGAGCGCTGACGGAGTATGTGGGATTTCGGGGTTAGCATGACATGTTGGTCATGTTGCTGTTAGCATAAACAACACGTGTTGCACAATGCTTGCACACTGTTGCACTTTTATCCACAACTTTCTTTCCGCCGTCATCGTAGGTCACTCTAAATGCAAAGTGGTCCCATACAGCAGACCTATAAAGTGCTGCTGGTGCGTCTTCCAGCTCCTGTTCTTTCCCACTCGCCATACCCACACAATTCTCCACAACAACTGATTTTTTTCTGCTACACCCGGCTACGCTGCTTTGCTTCTTCTTCTTCTTGTTTACTACTGGTGGTTGGCTTTGGTCGCAGTACCGCCACCTTCTGCTCTGGAGTGTAAACGCTTCGCCTATGAGAAAAAGGAGCAGCGCATGAACCGAACACAACACACGCGAACCGAACCGAGACACTCGAACCGAACGGTTCGGACGGTTTTCATAAACCGTTCCATCCCTAGTTCAGTATATTCTAGTATGTGTATTCATAGTCTGGTCTTCAGAAGCACACAGGAAACTCTGGACTCTGGGAGAATGGGAGCATGCAGCATAAATCTGGCTCAATCGGAACAGAAACGTGCTAATGACATCACTGCTCGGCTCGTCTGGAGCTGCATTTCACCTCCTGTTATTAATAGTCTCTAGAAAATAATAAATTCTTACTTTTTCATTTAGTGGGGGAATAATAATGAACACATTCAGAAAAACAGAAATCAAATGAACATTTTGCCAAATTAAACAAAAAAATCACCATCAGAGCCAGCGGTCCATCACACATGTCTATGCAGAGAGAGGGCTGCTGCAGACGGGCTAACGTTAGACCTGGCTGCCATTACCCTCGGAGCTCCGCTGATTTAACCTGACTCCGCCAGATGGATTTGCTGGATTTGCTCAGCATATCCATCTGGAAACCTTCCGTTGAAGTAATTTTGGGAAGGAGTGAAAATACTGGTTAGCTGATTGGCCTATGTTGGTGATAGACGGGCCAAATAAACCAATCAGATCAACGAAGCATATGACGTACTAACAGAGCGACGACGAAAACACAACCACAAGCCAGGCATGTTTACCCTCAGCTTCCAGACTGCAAATGAACCGCGCGCATGTGCAGGGATTGACGACGCAGGTTGATCACGCTGGAGTCAGCTCCCTCAGTTGCTGAACCTGCCACAGAGAGCCTTGACCAACATTACGAGGACCCACTCAAGCACAGCCTGCGTGTGTGGAGGGAAATCTTATTAGTTTGAAAAAAAATTCACAATAATTACTATTATTTGCTCACATTAGCTACGTTTACATGCGCAAAATTTCCCCGATCCGATCCAAACCTTGGTTGATCGGAAATTCAAAATCTCCGTTTACATGGACACTAAATGAAATGATCCGATCATGACGTGTGTATACATGTACCAAGCATTGGATCAGATTAAATCTTTTAAGCATGCGCAGAACTTCCTGCCAAACTTGGCAGTTCTGTCTGCGTCTGGTTTTTGGGAGGCCTGACAAACGATGCGCTCGGAGCGAGCGGAAAGAAAAAAGGAGAGAGGAGGGAAAAAGCGCTTGGCAGCGAAATGTCCGAGAGAAAATGTAGAGAATGAGCGATTGAACCGGCGTGGGAGAGCGAGTGGGCTTTGGAGAGAGAAAAGAGGAAGAGGAGGAGGATAAATTCCTGCTTCCTGCAGCTTTAAATGAACTTGAGTGCATAAGTCGGTGTTCCTAGACTCCTCCCGCCATGTTGTTCACAACAACAGCGAGAGCGACCAGTGGTTTCCTGTTGTTGACAAGGCGGAAAAACGTCACGCTGACGTCGCACACATGCACAGTGAAGATTATTTTACTCTTAAGATCCGAATGGGTGTTTACATGGACGCCAATCGGAATGGCGATCGGCAAAAACCACCTCTCTCTTTCGGAATTAAATTTAGATCCGATCGGACCGAA